GGGAGACCTGGTGACAAAGTGGTTATGCATTGGACTGCTAAGTGAAAGGCCAGCAGTTCAAAACCACTAGTTGCACCTCGAGTAGAAAGTCGAGGCTTTCTACTCCTGTAGAGAGTTAGTCTTGGAAACACCCAGGGCAGGTCTACCCTGCCTTGTAAGGTTAATAGGAGTCCACATAACCACACACGTTTCTTGGTTTTTACTGGTGTTAAAAAATTGCATGTGCTGTACCATATATTGAGGATGCCTGATGGCAGAGTGGGTTTGAAACCACCGGCCACTCTGAAGGAGAGATTTATAGTTTCAGAACCCCGTAGGGGCCGATCTGTCTGCCCAGTCATCACTGGGAATCAACCTGATGGCAGTGAGTTTGTTTTTTGTCTTTTTTTGGATGGCATATACAGATTATTCCTTTTTTTGGTATACTTTTCACATGTCTTTATGAAATGGTCACCTTGAGCCAACTTTACTTACATTTGGCCTACTCTCTAGAGAGTGATTCCCTGGTAACCATCAAATAACTTGGCTTTCTGTTTTTATATCTTTTCATGGCTTTTTATAATAGTGGAGCCACGCAATATTTGTCTTTTTGTGATTGACTTATTTCACTCAGTGTAATATCCTCTAGCTTCATCCATGTTCTATTTCTCAGAGTTCTCATTATTATTCATAGTTGCATAATATTCCATTGTATGTAGATGCCACAGTTGGTTGATGTATTCATTCATGTGTTGACGGCGTTCAGGATGTTTCAGTCATTCTGCTGTTATGAACGGTGTACATAGACTGTTCTTGTTACTACTTTAAAGCTCTAGAATATCACGCGTAGGGGTGGGATTGCGGGATCATAAGATATTCTTATTTTTTACTTCTTAAGAAAGAATTGACTTGTTTTCCATAGTGGATATATGCCGTTGTTGAATCCTGCCAGCAGTATAGAAAAGTTCCAATCTCATGACAACCTTGCCAGTATTTGTTGTTTTCTGGATGTTGTTTTTAATCGTTGTCATTTGTTACAGAGGGGAGAGGGGTTTCATTGTAGCTTCGTTTGCTTCTCTGCTGGCTAAGGAAGGAGCCTGGTCATGCTGTGGGTTAGGCATTGAGTTGCTACCTGCAAGGTTTGGTGGTTCAACCTTCTAGCGGCTCTGCAGGAGGAAGATGACACTGATCCTGTAAAGATTCACACTCTCAGAAGCCCTATTTACATCACAGATAAATTGAAGGCCCTGCGATTGGTTTGGAATGACTAAGGGTTGAGGGCATCTTTTCATGTGTTTCTTAGCCACCTGAATGCCTTCTTTGGTGAAGTGCCCATTCATGTCCTTTGTACCTTTTGATTAGATTATTCGTCGCTTTGTTGTTGAGTTGTTGGAATTTTCTATGTATTTTAGAGATTAGACACTTAATGAGTGTCTTTTTCCCAGTCTGTAGGTTCCCTTTTTATTCTCTTGAAGTCTTTCGTTGGGCAGAAGTCTTTAATATTTAGGAAGTTTAAAGTAATCGAATTTTTCTGTTTTTTGTGCAGTTTTAGTTATATTTGATAGCCTACTTAATGCCGAAGACTAAGTTCCAAGTTTTGACCCTATGTTATCTTCCAGGGACTTTATTATTTTAACTTTAACTCTCAGGTCTTTGATAGTTGTCCTTGTGTAAGTAAGTCTTTTTTCTGTCCCTGGTTACGTTTATTCCTGAGTATTTTATCTTGTTGGAGGCTGTTGTTAGTGGTATTGTTTTTTTTAATTTCCTTTTCCTTTTTCCTGTTTGTGAACATCTCTTCATGTGCTTTTTGGCCACCTGAATATGTTCTTTGGTCAAGTGTTTGAACCCAACAGACTCTTGTGGGTATTGATCTTGTGTCCTGTCACTTTGCTGAATTTTTCTGTGTATCTTTCTAGTGGAGTCTCTAGAATTTTCTGTGTGGAAGATCATGTCATCTGAAAATAAGTGTAGTTTTTTTTTCTTTCCAATTTTTAAAAATCATTTTATTGGGGGCTCTTACAACTCTTTACCACAATCCATCCATCCACCCATCCATTGTGTCAAGCACATTTGTACATAAGTTGCCATCATCATTCTCAAAACATTTGCTTTCTGCTTCAGCCCTTGGTACCAGCTCCTCATCGCCTCCCTCCCCGCTTTCCTCCCTCCCCCATGAACCCTTGATAATTTATAAATTATTATTTTGTCATCTTACACCATCTGACGTCTCCCTTCAACCACTTCTCCGCTGTCCGTGCCCCAGGGAGGAGGTTGTATGTAGATCCTTGTAAACTGTTCCCTCATTCTCTCTCACCTTTCCTTTCCAATTTGGGTACTTTTTTTTTCTTCTTTGCCTTCTTGCTCTAGCTTGGAATTGCAGCACAATGTTGAATAAGATTGATGAACTTCATTTTGTGCCTGTTCTCAAAGGGAATACTCTGTCATTCCCCACTGAGAATAATGTTGATTGCTAGTTTTCATACATGATGGGCCTTCAAAAAGTGCATGGAAAAATGGAATGAAAAGATAATGGCATGTTTTCATGAACATTTTGAAGTCCCCTCGTATGCCCGTACTTATGCTGAGGAATTTCTCATCTGCTCCTGTTTTGCTGAGAATTGTTATCAGGAAAGGGTGATGGGTTATTTGTCAGGGTTTTTTTTTTTTTTTTTTTTATTGGTTGAGATGATCCTATGGCCTTTTATTTACATGGTGAATTACATCCATTTATTTCTTAATGCTTGCATCCTTGGTATGAATTGCACTTGCACAATGTATTCTTTTTTGGAAATCCTGTTGAATTTTCTTAGCTAGAATTTTATTGAGAATTTATGTATCTATATTAATGAGGGATAATATCTGCAATTTTCTACCTGACAGTGGTATAAGGGTTATGCTGGTATTATAGAATGGATTAGGAAGGATTTCTTCCTATTTCTGTGTGCTGTAATAGTTTGAATAGAATTGGTGCCAACTTTTCTCTGAATGTTTGATAGAATTGTACAGTGAAGCTGGGCCTGGGCTTTTTTTTTAATTGCAGGAAATCTTTTTTTTTTTTTTTTTTAAGATTTCTTCAATGTCTTTTATTGTGAGTCTGTTCAAATTCTACTTCTGTTTGTTTTAATTTAGAATAGGAAGTATGATTCTAGAAATTTGCATATTTTATCATCTAGGTTTTCAAATTCATTGGAGTACAATTTGTCACAATCTGTTACATAAGAAATTTTTAATATCAGTTCTTTTTGGTTTACTGCTGCCAATCTCATTTCTTGTTTTAGTTCTTTGCATCTTTTTTTTTTTTTTCCTTTGTCAATTTGGCCAGTAGTTTGCCAATTTTATTGATCCTGGTAAAGAAACAGCTTTTTGGATTGTTGATTCTTTCCATTGCCTTTCAGTTTTCTAGTTCATTTATTTCTGCTCTGGTAACTTTTTGTTTCTCTTGGTAACTGGTCTTTTACTGCTCCCTTTCTAGTTGTTTGAGTTGTAGGGCTAAGTTACTGATTTTGACACCTCCCTCTTTTTTTTAATGTGTGTGTGCATGTATTGGTATAAATTCTCTTGTGAACACTGCTTTTCCTGTGGCCCAACAGTTTTGGTGTGCTGTGTTTTCATTCTTATTTGAGTGGAGGCTTTTAAAATTTTTATTTTTAATTTCTTCTATTATCCAACAGTTTTTAAGGAAGGTGTTATTCCATTTTCATGTACTTATTTTTTTCTCTTGTTCTTTCTGTTTCTGTTTTCTATTATTATGATCCAAGAAGATGCTTTGTATTATTTGATGCTTCTGAAATTACTGAGGTTTGTTTTGTGGCCTAAATTCCTGGGCCCTTGTAAAGAATAATCCGTGTGCAGTGGGAAGAATGTGTACTGTGCTGCAGTTGGGTAGTGTTCTGTGTCTGTGCATGAAGTCAAGTGATTTAGAGCAGTATTTCCCAAAGGAGGTAATGTGATAGAGCCCTCTGAAGGGTGCTGAAGTGATTCAGGGGGCCTGCAAACGCAGATAACTACATTCCATCCTAGATTATAGACTATTGTATAAATGTTTTTAATTGCTGGGGGCTGGGGAGCTGAGTAACATTTTTTTCTCTTTTTCTCCTGAAAAGGGAGCGTTGGGTCAAAATAAGTTTGGGAACCCATGATGTAGATCTTCTATATCTTAACAGTTTCTCTCTAGTTCTGTCCATCATTCAGAGTGGTGTGTTACAGTCGCCCACTATTACTGTACAAATGCCTGTTGCTCTTTTCAGTTCTGTTAGAGTTTGGGAGCTCTGTCTTTGGGTGAGTAAATCCTTGTTACGGTTACGTCCTCTTGGTTGATTGACCTTTAATCATTATTTAATATCCAAGGGAAGATTTTTTTGCCCCTTTGTTTTGCTTACTTGCTTGAGCTATCATCTCCTGTTTCAGCATATAATTTGTTAATATCTGCTGTCTGAACCATGAAGATGTGAATTTATCTAAGACCAGATAGCCTGCAGGAATTGTTTGGGTGCGGGATATGCTTTTCAGGTAGGTGGCTATAGATGAGGGCACTAGGATTTCCTGTTTGTCAGTTGGCAGAGGTGTAGCTGGTGCCCGTGACTGGTATTGCTGGTATTCTGCCCAGTCTCTTGCATTGTGGGTGCCAGGAGCATTTTTGCTGGTTGCAGAATTGGAGGCTGTTTGAGCACCCCTGATTGTATGGATGATTGAGGCTAAAGGACATGATCACCAGTCTCTTGGTGAGTGGCGTGGGAACTCCACCAATTATTGACCAGGCACGCAGCACAGATATGATCAGAGCAACCAAGTAACATGAGCTTTGATGAGCGGGTCCAACAGTGTGAGCTTATGTGAAGGATCCACAGTGGGCCTGGCTCTGTGGGAATGGTCTGTGGTGTAAGTTTCCAGTAACAGGTCCAATGGTGTGAGCGCATGTGCACTGTGGATCACCAATTGTGGGGGGTGGGGAGGATGGAGGGGGGCATTGGGGCCTTCTCCTTCTTGGATATAAGAGCGTGAGGAGTGAGGAGAAGGGGCACATGGAGCACCAGTATCTGGTAAAGGAGCCAGAGCACGCCCCACCAGTGCAGCTAGGATTAGAACCTGGCTCCTACCAAACTCGAGGGAGGAAAGTTGAGTGTGAGATCTCTAGCTGCTACTTGTCAGCTCCACCAATGCCATCCCAAGTGATCCGGAACTACTTCTGCTCCTGTTTTCTGGTGCCCTTGCTGCTCTATCCTTTTCTCTTCTTTTCCTGCATTTCCCTTCTGAAATGCAGTAGATGCTCAGCTCAGCTCACCCGACTTTGCCCTGGCTTTGTCTGTCTCCTGCCGAGGATTCCATGAAGTTGCCTTCCTGGACCCTTCACCCAGCCAACGCTGTTTTGCTTTGTCTCAGGATGGCCATGCTGTGCCAGGCCAGCGGGCAGGGCCTGTAAATACAATCTGTAAATATCCTCGTTCACTGCTTTCATTCACACTAATTATTCATCCTCCCATTTGCTGCTCTGGGTGTCCAGATTGTCATCAGTGTCTGTTTCACTTGGTCTTTCTGTTCTTTGCTGCAGGCAGGTGGTGCAGTCTGTGTGATTAAGGCACCATCCCGGAGTGTCTCCTGTCTTCATGCTTAATATGGAGAAATACCACTTTTAAAAAATAATTTTTAAAAAATAATTTTATTGGGGGATCTTACAGCTCTTATCACAATCCATACATCCATTATGTCAAGCACATTTGTTGTACACTTGTTGCCATCGTTTTCAAAACATATTCTTTCTTGGTATCAGCTCATTTCCTTCCCCCTTCCCCCCCTCACTTTTTAAGTATAAGAAATCTTTGGCAGATCTTGGCAATTAATATGAAAATAAGTGATTATCTTAGATAGATAGATTAGTGCTAACATTTTTGAAAGTTGACTATTGCTTCTTAGGTGGTGTAAAATAATTGCCTTGTTATAGCACCCTATGGATTAAATATTGTTATCCTCATTTACAGATTAGAAATCACTCAGAGAAAGTCATACCACTAACAGTAGTAGTGGCAGAATTTCAGCCCAGGCCCATCTGCCTCTCTTCTCTCCACTATGTTTTGCATTCTCTTTATGTTCAGATAGATATTATTATTCCTGTTTATAAATTGCTAAACCCAAGATTTAGAGGCTGGAAATTAGCTTAAAGGTATATCAGTAAAGGACAGAGGAAGGGGTATCAGTCAAGAGTTGAGCTAACTCCAAAACCCATGATCTTCCTTTTATACCAGATGTTTTTATGAATTCAGTACCAAATTTGGTACTTAAAAATGCTTTGCTTAGACCCTGTATAAACTTTAAAGACAGGTAAAATTATTTGAATGCTACTATTTATGTCACAGTTGCCCCACAGACTTTTTCTATACTGTGTAGAACATACACAGTCTGCTCTCCTTCAAGAGCTTGTTGTAGGAAAACACATCTCACCCACTTAACTGGACATGCTTAGAATTCACCAGGGGCACTGTCTTGAGGGTTTGCCCTCTTATTTGCTTAAAAAACCATTGCTGCCAAGGTAATTCCAAATCATAGAAACCCGATAGAACAGAGTAGTACTGCCCCTTAGGATTTCCAATGCTGTAATCTTTATGGGAGCAGTTTGCAAGAGTTGAACTGCCAGCCATTCAGTTACCCTGTTTCCCCCAAAATAAGACAGTGTCTTATATTAATTTTTGCTCCCAACGATGAGTGAGGTTTTATTATCAGGGGATGTCTTATTTTTCCATGAAGAAGAATACGGTACACATTTATTGTTTATTGTTTTATTAAAAGAGACCTCGTACTTCCTGTCTGCTCTGGCTGCACTGCGGCCGCTAAGTTCCAGAGTTAGGGTAGCTTTGGGGAGGTCTTATTTTTGAGGGGGATGCATTATATTTCAGCGAGAGGCAAACTGTAAGTAGGTCTTATTTTGGGGGGATGTCTTACTTTCGGGGAAACAGGGTAGTAGTTGAGTGCTTTAACCACTACACCACAAAAAAGGGTTCCTTTTTTGTTTGAAAAGGTAACTAGGAAAAAGAGAAAAGTTATTTAGGGAAATGGGTGGCTTGAACCGTGTTAACACACCGGGCTGCTAACTGAAATATGAAATATGATAGTTTCAGGTTCACCCAGAGGCACCTTAGAAGAAAGGTGAGGTGGTCCATGTGTTAGGCCAGGTTGGCTAGAAAACCAAATCCAGAGACACTCATATCAAGAAGTAATTATATATCAAGCAAACATCCCAGCCTAGTCCAAGTCCAGATATCTAGTATACAATCTATAAGTCTGATACTAGTCCATAAGCCCCTCTTCAGACTCACACAGCCACATGCAATGATATAAAATGCAGGACGATCACTGGCCAGTGGGTGAAAAGTCTTGTGGATCCAATGGCGGTGGACACATCTCCAGGGGTCTGGCAAGCCTCCAGCAGGTCTCCATATGGCTCACCAGCAGGAAGATGAAGCAGAGAGAGAGGCCTGCCTTGGAGAGCCATTTATCTCTGTCACCCTCCAATCAAGCTACAACCTGATGGACAGGCTAAACTCTGCCTACATGTTTGTATGGGAGCCATGTTGGCACAAAACTAACCACTTCAGTCCTCTTCTAAAAAGCCAGCACTAGGGTTTTCATTGGCTGTGATCTTTTAGAAGTAGAGCACCAGGCCTTTCTTCTGAGACATCTCTGGGTGATATTGAACCAGCAACCTTTTGGTTAGAAGCCTGCACATAACCATTTGCATCAAGAGTTTATGCTACCCCTAGATGTTTAAATTACATGAACCAGCACATTCTGGTTTGCCTAAGTAGAATTTTTTGATACAAAAATAATAGTCCTGTTTAATACAGTGAGATTGCTTTTGGTGAGACCAGTTTGGTCAGAATAAATTAATCGGACTAGAGAATATAATAGCTGCCTTTCACCTAAAAGGAAATTAGGTTGATGATGGGGCTTAGCGACAGGGAGACTAGTCAGAATTTACTCATTAACAAACATTTATTGACTACACAACTTAGACAAGAGTAGTTTACAGAGACCAAGATCTGCCCTCAAACTCAAGGAATCTAATTGGGGAATAAATAGATAGGTGTAAAGAGTATTTTAATTGCCAAATAATAGCAAGATTTTATATAATCTAAGAAAAACAAAATGAAAAGATACTGCATTCTGAACTGCAAGGTCAACAGTTTGAAACCACCAGACACTCTTTGGGAGAAAGATGAGGCTTTCTACTCCCATAAAGATTCACAGCCTCAAAAACTCAGAGAAGTTCTCTGTCTTACAAAGTTACTGTGAGCTGGAATCAACTTGATGGCAGTGAATTTGGTTTGGGGACAGTCTGGGTTGGTGGCTGTGGTAATAATCCATAAGGGAATGGAAACTTGAAAAATAGAAATCATACTAGAAAATGAAGATAATGTACAACTGCTAATTGAATTGATTCAAAGAAAAGCACAGGATGAGGAAAAGATGACTGAGCAGTCAAACCTGTAAGACTAGAAAACTGTAATGCTACCGATAATAACAGTAGCCAGCATTTATTGAGCTATTAGCAAATTTCAGGGTTTTGGGCTAAGTGATACATATATAAAACTTGCACATACAATAACTGTATGAGTTGTATATACTATTTTGCTTTCATTTTACAGATGAGAACATTGAGACTCAAGAGATTAGGTAATTTCATCTAGGTCACATAGCTATTTGTGGGGTTAAGGGGAGGGGGGTTCCCCACAAATCATCACAGGTCCAGTAGGCGCAATTAATTGTACAGCGATAATAAGTAAGGATTATAGTAAAGTCATAGAGAGCATGAGAGTTAGAGGAGAGATAGGAATAAATGGAGTCAGACACAATTCATGATAGCATTGCTCACCTCAGCCCCGCTTGATGGCCCTCGTCTGGGGGAACCCAGCCACGAGACCAGGAGCAGCCTTGGGGACCGAGAACGGGGAGCCTCCTTTCTTTGTTGCTAACCACGCATTATATCACTTTAGGGGGACCTGATTATAGAATCACACGTCACAGGAAGGGGCAGTACAATAGGCATACACATTTGCAGGAAGGGGATCTATGATAGGCATAAGTGTAACAGGAAGGGACGAGCTAGGGGTGTGCCTATAGGAATGGGAAAGGTCTAGGGGTATACACGTGACAAGATGGGCGGACCCTAGATTCATGATGGCAGCCGAATCTTGGTCATCCTTGGGCGAGTTTGACCTCTCCGAGTTTGACCTCTCCGGTGTCTCCTACAAGGAAACAGACAACTACTATCCTTATCAGAAGGGAGTGGGCCCTACTTGTTGTGGGATAAACAGTGGTGTCTGCTTGGTCTAGACAGCTGGTAACTCTCAGGGAGAATGACCCCCCAATCCACTCCTGATGACCTCCAAGTGTACAGTCATTCTCAAGCAGCCAAGTCTGGCATATATTTGGGGGAGACAACTTGGGAGAAATCCTTCTGTTTCCCATAGCTATTAAGCGGCAGAACTGGGATTCAAATTTAGAGACAACTGATCCTAAAACTGGTATTTGTGATCACTGAGCTATATTGACAAGAAACTTGGATTAATATAATTTCCTTGGTTTGTCCAATACCTTTGGCATGCTGAAAGGACGTCCAGTTAATAAAAAACAAATAGAAATAGAAATCTGAAGCTTCCAAGTGAAGTTAGAGCTACCATATAAATTTCAGAGTCATAGAGTTTATAAGCTTATTGAGGAAGATTGTGGAGAGTAGAAAGCTGTCACTGACAACCATGGGCACACCGACATTTTAAAAGTCAGGAAGCTCAATCAGCTTGAGAGAAAAATCAAAGTTGGATAACACGGCCTGTGATAAAATTCATAGAATCCTGACTTTGCAAGGACCCATAATAAACAGTTAAGTTACTTTGTTTGCGAGATGTCTTAGAGAGATAAGGACCCATAATAAACAGTTAAGTTACTTTGTTTGCGAGATGTCTTAGAGAGATTAGACCGAAGATTGGGTGTAAATGGGTGAGACAAGGTAATGTAATGTGTCAAGAAGTCCGGGGAATCGAGGCTTTCAGGAAATGGATAATACTCTGGGAGGTAAAGAAGAATGAAAATTGCTCAAATGCCTTTTAATTTTTTTCAAGGAAATAACATGT